CACCCCCACCAGCCTTTGTCCTCTCAGCCCCACTTGCCTTTCTTCCGTATCTAAAGCCCCTCTCACTTGCCTGCTGGTCTGCAAACCAGATGGCCTCTTATCTCTTTGTGTCTCTCCTAGCTGGTCCTTTGAAGTCTTTGGTTCCCCACCATTGTCTCAGGTGAGCCTGAGGCTGCAGAAGGAACATTCCTTCTCAGGAGCCTCCCGGACACTGAAGGCACTGGTTTATTTGGTGTCCTCTTTGGGCCACAATTACTATGATTCTCAGCCAGTGGTCTCTATTCTTTGGACCTCGCTGTAATCTTGGTCTCCACCCCCTGTGCCAATGACCCAGTTTCTCTGCAGTGGTGTAGCCATTCATTTTTTTTTTTTTTTAAAAGATGAATATCCTTCAAACACCTTCCAATTCAGAATTTTCGTTTTTGGAATTTTGGCAGGTATTTCCCTTAAAGTAGAATTCACCCTTTCGTTTTCACAGTTCTTCCTCATCGTTTCCCCTCACTCAGAGGGAAGACCTAAATTGTCAGCAGTCTAGTTATTAAGATCTTCTGCCCTCTGTGTTTCCTACAGAACAGAGCTCCTTCTCTTTAGGAGAGAAGTCTGCCGGACTTGTTCTGCCAACTCCCTTTATCTTTCTCACCCAACTGTGGGTGGGGACTACCTTCCAGAAACAGTTGCTGGACTATTTTGAAGGTGATTTCTGTACTGGATCAAACTTTACTGGGTCCCATGTTGGGTTTTACCTAGAAAGCTTTCTATTTTATAAAGTCAAACTCAAGGACTCCTGTCTTTGCTTTCCCAGGCCATTAGTTGCTTCCTTTTTCTCTGTGTAGAGATGTCTTATGCCATAGATTTCATTATTATTTGACAGCCTGTTAGATGATGAGTGGGTTATTACAGCTTATTTTTCTTTGGTTTTGTACTTTTAGGAAAGTGTAGTATGTGATGTTTACAAGGTGTCTGTACTAAGTAATTTCTATGAGAGGAAAAAGTAAAAGCCTTATTTCACATTGATAGTGGGCATTAAGGTCTTTATTAAAGGCTAACTGGTGGAATCAACAAATTTGTTAAACATTGGTTCTCTTTAGTACCTATTGGTATCCAATTGCTCTGTTTCTGTGTCTAATTGCTAATCGTGCTGTCATATTGCACCAAGGTGGCTGTAAAGGGGGAGGGTATGCTTGCGTGTATTTGTCTTCACTACTATTCGGTGTCATTTTTGCCATTACTGGAGATGCAGGGAGTGATGAACGCCACAGATGACGCCCACCCCAGCCTTTCTGGTGCCCACACTCTGTCAGTCATCAGCCCCATGGAATGCTACTGAGCTCATTCAGTGGGTATGAAGTGTTCAGAAAAATCAGAAACAGAGTAGGAGTACAGTGCAACTTGTAATCAGGAAGACCTCACCTGAAGGTGACAAGAATGGTCAGGTGGCCTGTCTATCCTGGCACAGAAACTAAAGAAAAGAACAACAAAAATGTAGTTTTCAGGTATGAGTTCCTGCCACGGGAATCAAGTCCTGGCCTTGGAGACCAGGCAACCTTTCTCAGCCAGGACTCCTTTGTGCCTGAAGCCTCAGGTAGTTTGAGTCACTGTTTTCTCCATCCCCAGAGATACCAAACTAGTATCATTTTAGATGCATGGGAAGAAACTAGGTTCTTACATACAGTGGATGGGCTTTAGGTCAAGGATTTGCATACTCTGTAAAGAGCCAGAGTGGATCTTTGAGCTCTGTGTGGTAAACAGTGGTGTAGCCTTATGTTCATAGACACCAACACTGAGACTGGATTCCATTTTCACATATCACAAGATTTTCTACATTTGCATTCTTTTTAATGATTTAAATTGTGAATTTTTTTTTTTTTTTTTTTTTGGTCTTTTTGAGACAGGGTCTTCCTGTAGCCCCAGCTGTCCTGGAACTCACTATGTGTAGACCAGGCTGACCTTGAACTCAACAGAGATCCGCTGCCTCTGCCTCCCGAGTGCTAGGATTAAAGGCATGCGCCACCATGCCCCGCAAATTGTGAAATTTTCATTAGTCCTTCTGAGCTGTATACAAATGTGGTAGGCCATGAGTTGTTTCTGGACCCCTGTTTGGGGTACTGATCTTGAGAGGCTATGTGAGGACCTGGCTTATGCTGAGTGAGATAAGCCATGGGAGGTTTGGAGCAGATTTGGGGAAGGATATACTTTGTTCTATCTGCAGTGTGGAGATTAGACTGAAGGAGGGAGGGAAGAAGCAAGGATGTCCTTAGGTTTTGCTGGTCAGGTGGTGAGTTGCTGGTTCAGGAAAGTTTGAAAGTGGAATGGATGCATTCTATGTGGAGCTCACCTGGAGTACAGTAAAAGCTGTTATGTTTGAAATGCAAAAGTTTTGTTCCTTCTAAACCTTTAGTTGGACTTTTTAAAGATTGAAGCATATGGAAGCATCAGAGGTTTGTCAGTGGTAGAGCTACTGGTCAAGAAGAGTGTATTCTAGCAAGATAATGAGGGGAACTTTTTGCTCTCTAAGCCAGAGAACTCCTGAGGCAGACAGCTGTAACCTCAACTCCAGCCACTGTGTCTGGTGAGAGAAAGAGAACCACAGTGGTTTCTAAGTTTCCAGGACTTATAGAAGGTAAAACCTGAGGCTCTGTGTTTTACTGATGGCCATTGTACTCCATTTTTTTAATGCATATATATTGGGGGGGTATCAAAGGTCTAACCTAGTGTACTGCATGTGTTAGACTAGCACCAAGCCACATTCTCAGCCCTATATTTCTTTCCTTTTTCTTTTTTTTTTTTTTTTTTGGTCTTTTTGAGACAGGGTCTCCCTGTAGCAACCAGCTGTCCTGGAACTCACTATATAGACCAGGCTGGCCTCGAACTCACAAAGATCCACCCACCTCTGCCTCCCAAGTGCTAGGATTAAAGGCATGTCCTGTATTTCTTAAAATAACATTAATTTGGTATTGTCAGCTTGGGAAACTAGAAGCAAGTTGCTAGCATTGAGAATTCCCTACTGTTTATCTTGTAGATTGCATGACTTTTCTGTAGAAATAGGATCTTTTAAATCTTTTACATGTCTTGTTTTAAATACAGCTATCTCGGAGAATAGTGTGGATGAATACAATTTTTGGGGGGGGGGAGGTTTTGTGTGTGTGTGTGTGTGGTGGCGGGGAGAGAAGAATAAAAGTTAAAATGTAGAAAGGAAAACTATTGTCACAATGGAAACTTGCATATGGAGGGTGTAGTGGTTTGAATGAGAGTGTCCCCCATAGGCTCCAGGTATTTGAACACATGGTCCCCATTTGGTAGTGCTGTTTGAAGAGAGTCATGGAATATTTAGGAGGTATGGCCATGCTGGAAGAAGCAAGGCACTGGGGGAAAGCTTGGAGAGTATATAGTCATCTCTACTTCCAGTCTAGCTCTCACTGCTTCCTGTGCCTGTTTGTAGTTACGAGCACTTAGATGTCTACTCCAGCTGCCTCCTATCATGCTTGACCCACTATGATGGACTGTTATCCCTCTGGAACCATAAGCCCAATAAACTCATCTTTCTGTAAGTTGCCTTGGTAATGGTGTTTTATCACAGCAACAGAAAATTAAATAATACAGAGGGCATTGAAAGTTACCCTTTTCTGTCTTAGCTTTTATGATTTATTGATAAGATTTTTACTACTATGGAAAACCATAATGTATAGGAAGAAGCCAGATGCTATCTTGTAGATGTAGAGGGTTACACAATACTGACTGGAGCTGTTCCATAGACCAGAGAGAGCATCTGGGTACTTCACATGTTGGAATATAGTCTAAGTCAGGAGAACCTAACCTCTCTCAATAGTTTCTCTTTCCCTTGCTTAATTTTATTTCTAATATTGGGGGTCACATGATACCCCAAAATATATTTTATCATGATGTATACTTTGTACAAAGTCTCTCTGACCTCATGCCTTCCTGTCTCTTACCCCCTGAAGCAAAGCAGAATTCCTCTAAGATAGAACACAGAAACTAGAATTCCTCTAGTTTCTTTTAAAAAACCTTAAACCTAGAAAGATTATTCTCCCTTAAAAATCTTTGTTCCCCCACCTAAAAGGAAAGAGTGCTGCACAGACAGGCCTGACTGGGCTCCCACAGATCTCTTTGCATGTATTGCCATCAGGAAGAGGCCCTTAGTGTCCAGCCATAGTTATACAATTGTCCATTCCTCTTCAAATTAATCATAAACTATATATGCTAACTTAAAAAAAAAAAGATGTAAGGGGCTGGCTTAGTGGTTAAGAGCACTGACTGCTCTTACAGAGGACCCGGGTTCAATTCCCACCACCCACATGGCAGCTAACAACCATCTGTAACTCCAGTTCCAGGGGATCTGATGCCCTCTTCTGAACTCAGTGGACATTGCACAACACGGGTGCACGTATACATATGCAGGCAATATACTCATATACATAAAATAAAAATAATAAAAAATTTTAAAAATACATAAAGCTGGACAGTTTTCTCTGACTCTTTGGGTCTTCATTTTGAAGGTTCCCATGTCAAATGAAACTGATTAAATAGATCTGTTTTGCTTTTCGCCTGTAAACTTGCCTTGTTAGAGTTATGTAGACTGACTTGATGGGTGAGGAAAGAAATCATACTTTCCTACCTTAGACTATTTCCCATTGTTTTTTTCATATTAACCTCATAGAGTGTGTTTCCCTTCAGTCAGAACCCTGGGGTTCTAAGCTTCCCAGCTTGTAGGAAGAAGTGTATCTTAAATGGTTTTCTATCTGCAAGCCCAACCACAGCTTGGCTCAAAAGTAGTAGGTGTACAAAATGAATGTGGTGAATAAGTCACATTGCCCCCTTCCCTAGAACCTCCAGGTTCTCACTGGCTACACCAACTACAGACTCTAGCATGGGCTTAGGGCTCTTCCGTGCCTGGACCAACACAGAGGCACCCCTGCATTCTGCAGCTTTTGCCTTCAGGGGCTCCCACCCTGACCATTAGACTCCTCATACTGTGAGCACTGACTCGGGTTCAAGTTCCTTGGCAACCTTTTTGTCTTTCGGGAATCTTTATATTCCTCTGATCTTGGTCTGTTGCAGCATTTGCTGATGTTCATTTTCTTGTTTTTATTGTATTGTGTCTTTCCACTGTAAGTGGCTGGCCCATTGTAGATCCGCTTGCAGAGTTGAGAGGCCTTTTTGTCTGTGTAATAAGGAATTTAATCCTTGTCCTGGCTCTTGGAAAGTCACTGTTGGTTTCCCTCAAACATTCTAAGACTGATAGTGTTAACTCCTGGTGGCCCCATAGTTTATGCTGTTGAGGAACTCAGGCTGGGTCCTGAGTCATCATCTCTTCACAGTTAACAAGTAACTCTGAATGTCAGTACTACCGGCAAGCTTCCTGGATTGACAGTAGTACTTTTAGAGTATTGTCAGTCATTGGCGACAGGAGGGTCAGATGTCCCTGAGGACAAGGAAATTCTTATTTGGGATCCCTAGAATGAGTCTTCTTCTAGCTGGCTCCAATTTGTCTTATATTAAATCAGAATCACAAATATAGCACTGTCCTGAGTTCCATGGTCATTCTGAGTGAGTCGGGATGGAGTGAGGATGGACAGTTTTGTAGCCAGCTAGTGTGGGGCTCCACACTAATCTGATTGCAACCCATTTCATTGATTTTATGATTTACTTTTGGTTCATTAGTAGTAATAACTGATTTTTATTTCATTTACTTTCCTGATACTGGTTACCTCAGCCATCTGTCAGGGCCCTGAACTTGGCTTGGTCAGCTGCTCTGCTAGGGAATTCTGCACTGCTTTGCCAGTCTTTACTTCTCCCCAGAGAAGATACGGCCACTGTATATCCACTGTAGGAGTACCCCACCCATTCTTTAAGCTAGGAATTGTCTACCTCTCTGCTACAACTAATAACCTCTGTATGTCTACTCCCTTCTTTTTAAGGTAACATTTGCCGGTCACCCATTGCAGAAGCAGTTTTCAGAAAATTAGTAACTGATGGAAACATTTCAATTAATGTAAGTAGTATTCAGTTCTTTGAAGAGTCCAGTCTGAATACCTCTGGGCAGCAAAGTACCAGAATGATCTTTTTCTCTCCCACAGTGGAGGATAGACAGTGCGGCTACATCTACCTATGAAGTGGGGAACCCCCCTGACTATCGAGGGCAGAGCTGCATGAAAAAGCATGGCATCCCCATGAATCACATTGCTCGGCAGGTACTGGAACTTGACCTATGTTTTGTGTTACAGTGGGCCATTGACAGCAGTGCTGTTTCCGACTGGAATGTGGGCCGGGCCCCGGACCCAAGAGCTGTCAGCTGCCTAAGAAATCACGGCATTAGCACAGCCCATAAGGCAAGACAGGTAGAAAGGTCTTATTTAATTTCTACTGTATAGAGTCCCATAACTTGAGAGGATGACCAGCCCTGTGTGTTGGTGGATGTGTTTGATTGGGGCGAAATGACTTGCTGTGTGTATAGTTCTGAAAGATTTGAGTGACCTTGGGGTTACTTGTTAAGGTACAAATAAAAATGGCATAAATCACAGTAAGACAGTCCTGGCTATGAGCCAGACCTGAGCTTTGGACTCCATTATGTTACTGTGCATAAGTTTTGGTTAGACATTTAGGCCACAGTGACTGTTCTGCTTATGTTACCAATTTGTTGATACAACAAAGTCACACATATGTTATAAAAGCATCTTTTCTATTCTAAAGTTCCTTAAAAATATAGAATACTGTTGTCATTATAAACAGTTAATAGTCTGTTTTGCTGGACTTTAAAGACTACAGAAGTAACAACAAACTCTTCAAACCAAGCTTATGAAGATAGCTTGGTATGTCTATTATTATTTTTTATCTCTATTATTCTTTTTGAGACAGGGTCTCCCTATAGCTCTAACTGGCCTGGATTCACTATGGAGAACAGGCTGGCCTCAAACTCACAGAGATCCTTCTGCCTCTGCCTCCCAAGTGCTGGGATTAAAGGCGTGCGCCACCACACCCAGCCGGTATCGCTATTATATTAGCTGCCATATGGGTGCTGGGAACTGAACCCTGGTCCTCTGCAAGAGTAGTCAGTGCTCTTAACTGCTGAGCCATCTCTTTGGCCCTGGTCTGATCCTTTAAGTGGAGTTTTCAGTTGGGCAGAAGATAAGAGATCTTACATCATTTGTTCATTTGGATCACTTCACACTTTTGCATATTTGGCCAATCTGTTTGCTGTTGCCTGGGGGATGTGGTCTTATTTTGAGTAGTCTATCAAAACTGTGAGATGTGGTTCTTTTTCATACTCTCAGGGTATAACAAAAGTGAATACGAGTAAAGTATTTTAAATACATACACCTTGAAAAACAAAACTAGAACTCTTTCAAGAGCAGTTTTAATGATCAGCTTTGAAAGTGGTTCCATTGAATCTTTTTGTTCTTTTCCCTTTGTTCTTTAAGAAAAATTTCTCCACTCTTTATAGTTTCAAAGTAAACAATCTTTTTTTCTAAATATTTTATTTATTATTTTTATTTTATGTGTATGAGTGTATTGCCTGCATGTATGTGAGTGTACATATGTTGTGCAATGCTGCAGAGGTCAGAAGAGGGCTTCGGATTCCCCTGGAACTGGAGTTAAGAACAGTTCATAGTCGCCATGTGGGTGCTGGGAATCGAACCTGGGTCCTCTGCAAGAGCAGTCAGTGCTCTTAACCACTGAGCCATCTCTGTAGCTATGTTTATAGGTTACAGGTTCTTTCTTTTTATTAGTTGTCAGTGTGTATAAATAACTATTCTAGTACAGTTCTTAAAATCTTCATTTTCCTAGTTTTGTCAACCTGGGTTTAATAAATGGCATGTTGTCGGTCTTTCTTTTTAATTCACATAATCAAGCCTATTGGGATGTGAGTTCAGCATGGTCATCTGGGTGGAGAATTGTACACATGTCTCTTTTTTTGGTGACCTTTCAATAGCTTGTGCAGACTGACTGTAACGTTGAAGCCCCCTGGCCACTTCTTCCCATTTGTGCAGAAGTTATCCCCAAAGTTTCATTCTGCTTTTTAACCTTGTAGAGTTAGATCATTTGTGTTGTGTTTTGTTTGGTTGAGTCAAGGTCTTACTCTGTAGCCCGGACAGGCCTCAAACTCAGGGTAGTCCTCCTGCTTCATCCTCCCCAGTGCTGGGACTGCAAGTATGTCACTTCCCTGACTTTGAAGTGGGGGCCTTGCGTGTGCAATCTCTTCTCCATGCATAACCATCACTTTTTGTCCTGGTCAATGCTGAATGCTGCATTATTCTACAGTTTTATTTACCTGATCTTCCTCTGCTGTACATGTGAGCAGCTACTAGTGTGGGGCTTGTAGAAGTAATGCCATTGTAAGTGGGGTAAGCATCTGTACAAGGTTCTGATGAGTTTATACTCAACACCCTACCTGTTACCTATTGAAAGTTTTTCAGTTCATCAGACTCCCTGGAGGTGGTTTCTGTTCTTTAAAAAGTTTATAAAAGGCTGGTAATATCTCTGCTTTGTTTAGAAAAATTGCTATGCTTGTTTCTGTTCTCCTTTGATTTGAAAGTACTATCTTTGTTTCCTGGCTGCTTGTTTTTCTTCTGGTTTTTAGTTTCAGTAACTTTGCTATAAGAGTCTAAAGTAGGCTTCCTGAATTGTGACTTGATGTATATTTCATCAGTTTTGGGAAACCTCAGACTGTTCTCTTTTCATATTTTACCTCTTTCTGTTGTTTTTGTTGTTGATGTTTATCTTGTTGTTTTTGTTGTTTGCTTTATTTTCTGAGAGCCATCCTTTATGTATATTGAACATACCTTTTCTATATTCTTTTCTCTGGTTCCCATCCTGATTACTCTGCTCTTAGTATGAGATTTCCTGCTGACCACCTTTCGGATCTAATTTTTTTGCTATTTCCAAAGCCTATGAAATTGTATTTGCTGAGTCCTTATTGTCTGTTTTTATTGACCGACTGCTCTAAGTTTTTCTTGATCTTCTTGTAGTTGCAGTTTTCTGGTGAAATACTTGTATACTGTTTTCTGAACATCATATTGTTATATTTTTAATATATATTTAACATACTTTAATTTATTCTTTGGCAGTTTCATACCTTTGTAATGTCTGTTTTCTGAACATCATATTGTTATATTTTTAATATATATTTAACATACTTTAATTTATTCTTTGGCAGTTTCATACCTGTTTGTAATGTACTTGCTTATATTCACCTCCTTGTTCTCTTCTTTACCCTCTCCCACTCCATCTGAACCCTTTTCTTCCCAACATATCTCCTTTCTCCTTTCATGTCTGTATATGTATAAAATCTACTTAGTTTAAGTAGGGTTGCTTACATGCTCATGAGAGTAGTTTATTTACTGGATCATGGGCTGTACCACTGAAGAAAAAAGACTCCCTCTCCCAATCCCCCAGCAGCTATTAACTGCCAACAGATCCTCAGCTCGGGGTGGGGCCTCATGAGCCTCTCCCCCATTGTCCTAGTTTGCTTCTGTATTGCTATGATAAAAACAGACCAAAACCAACTTGGGGAGGAAAGGGTTTATTTTACCTTACATCTCCCAGGTCATAGTTAATCACTGAGAGAAGTCCAGGCAAGAACCTGGGGGCAGGAACCCAGAGGCAAAAACTGAAGCACAGACCGTGAAGGAACCCTGCTTACTTTTGCTCTCCTGACCTGATCTCAGCCTGCTTTCTTATATCACACAGGACCACTTTCCCATACGTGACACTGCCCACAGTGGGCTGGGTCCTCCTAACTGACTCAACAATTGAAAAATGCCCCACAGACATGGCCACTGCCCAGTCCAGTGGAGGAAACTCTCCAATTGAAATTCCCTCTACCTGGGTGTGTCAAGTTGACAACTGAAGCTTGGCAGAACACCCATCCTTATCAGAATGTTGATGGGCTGTGTCTTGTGTAGTTAACCACAGCTGCTGTGAGTTCACTAAGGAGCATACTGTTATTATTTTAAATAAGGTTTGTTAACTGCTGTCTAGGTCATTTCTCTCTCTGCTTCTCTACCCCACCCCCACTTCCCCAGTATTGGAAATTAAACCTAGATAGGGCCTGGCACATGCTTGTAGGCAAGTGCCTGTGACACATTGTTATTTTTTATTTTAATGGTCTCTATAACCCAGGCTAGTCTTGAACTCACCCTGTAGCCCAGACTGCCCTTAAATTTAATCTTCCTGCTTCAGCCTCCCAAGTAGCTGAGATTACAGGCCTGTGCTACCAGGTCTGGAGAGTTTGCTTTCTGTTCTCATTGTTGCTTGGTGCCTCCCAAGTGCTGGGATTAAAGGTGTGGGCCACCATGCCCGGCTCATAATTCCTGCTTTTAACAGAGTAACAAGCAGTGAGCATTTTTAACATTCTTTGGCTATAGTCATTAACAGCATACCTCTCCCTTTAACCAGCATTGCAGTGCCTCCTGGGCAGTCAAAATCTACAAGGTAATTTCTTCACTTACATTTTAAGCAGGCTTACATGTCTAAGCTATGATGTCAGAAAACAGTACTTATTTATGTTAAAATCTGGTAAAGTCTTGGGGGAATCCTTTCCATGTAAACAAGTTATAGATCTGTAGTCATTAACATTTATTCCTGATGGACCTGTTCTAGCTACCCTTTTGGAAATCAGTTACCTTCCCACAAGGACAAAGATCTATCAATCTGTTCTTCTTGAGGGCATTTATTCTTCCACAAGGGCAAAGATCTGTCAATCTGGTGTATGTTGCTGTATTAATTAATTACTTTCCTGTTGTGATAAAACACCATGGCCCAAAACAACCTATAGAAGTTTATTTTGGCTTATGGTTCCAGAGGGAGATCTATAATGGCATGGGAGGCATGGCAGGAAGCAGCCAGAGCAGAAACCTGAGAATTCACATCTTCAAGCACATATATGAAGCAGGGAAAGCAAAACTGGAAGTGAGGCAAAGGTTGTGGATTTTCAGAACCCACCCCCATTGAAGTGCTTCCTCCAGCAAGGCTGTATCTCCTAAAGGTTCCATTGCCTCCCCCAAACAGCACCACCAACTGACCAAAGTGCTCAAATACTTGAGCCCATGGGGGATATTCTTCATTCAAACCACCACAGGTGCCAAGGCCTAGGAAATTTAGTGCTGGAAGAGTGAAAAATAGAGTAGTGGGGTGATTAAATGAGGGGCATTTCTCTGTGCTGACAGAATTATACTTTATTACCAAGGACTGAAGGTAACAATAAGCCTTATGTCCATATTTTATATATTTTCTGTTATTATAAGAACATTATGAGCTGGGTGTGGTTGGTGAACGCTTTAATCCCAGCACTCAGGAGGCAGAGGCAGGGGGATCTCTGTGAGTTCAAGGCCAACCTGGTCTACATAGACAGTTCCAGGCCAGCTGGAGCTACAGGCAGCCCCTGTCTCAAAAAGAAAAAAAAAAAAAAAAGAACATTATGATACAAACATTTTTTAGCAACGTAGTTTAGGAGATACGTTAATTATTTTCATTTAAAAAACTATAAATTGTGTATCGAGTTAAATTTTAATTAATGAGATATAGACTACAATTTTTTAACTACTTTTTTGTATGACTATAAATACTGTATTTTGTGCTCTTAATTTTAGATTACCAAAGAAGACTTTGCTACATTTGATTATATACTGTGTATGGATGAAAGCAATCTGAGGTAATCATATTTTAAAGAGTGTTTCTGTCCTCTCGATTGTATAATAGGCCAAGCAACTCATTGTCCAAAATGACTTTTTATTGTCATTTTGTTGTATGAAACTATACAAGATGGCAGGAAGATCAGAGGGTGATGTAGAGTTGTCTCAAGATCTGTTTATAGAGATAGGCTTTCCAGAAGAGAAAGTCTAGCTAGTGCAGTGAATTGGAAATGGAGACCAGCTGGTGGTAGGCTGTAGTTGTAGAGGAGATGCCTTGATTCTGCTGTAGCAGACTAGGGGCATCTTATTTCCCTATGAATGCTGTACTACACAGTAAATTTGACAAGGCAGAAGACATCACTCTGTTACATTTTTGGTAGCAATGATTGGCTATATAATGCTGATATGCTCTGTGGGGGCCCCACCCTTCACCAATAAGTTCATTTTATTACTGAGAAAGAAATCCAGGAGGAGTGGACTTATGTTACTTTCCTAATTTCACAGGTGGGTATAGAAAGGTCTACCAGGCAGGTGTTGCCTGCCACCTTCACCTTTGTGCTTCTACTACACTTACTCACCCCAACCTCACTTGCTGCTGGCCTCACTCAGCCTGAATTTGCATTTCTGTACCTCTCATCCGGTTCTACTTACTCCTGTCCGCACTTCCCCTGAGCCTTGTCCTTACTGGCCCTTTGTCTTGGGATATGGTACACATGGTTTTTTTTGAGTTCCTTTCTACTCTCTTTATAGATCTGAAATAGTATATTTTTTATCATATCAAAATATTTTTAACAGACGAAAACATAATTATTGTATGACTTAAAAATGCACATTTGGGTGTCAGAATCAGTGAGGTGTTGACACTGTACTGTGATACACTTGCTACACCAGTGAGAGCACTGTGTCACAAAGCTACAGGAAGAGTTTGCATTGGCTAGATTTTGATACAGATGTTTCTTAAACCCTGAGCAGATGTCCCTGTTTAACTTGAAACCTTAGATCAGAAATCTTAAGTTCATGTTTCAATTTTACAGAGATTTGAATAGAAAAAGTAATCAAGTTAAAAACTGCAGAGCTAAAATTGAGCTACTTGGGAGCTATGATCCACAGAAACAGCTCATTATTGAAGATCCCTATTATGTAAGTACATTTTAGGTTTGGGGCTAGTGTTAAGATGGGCAGGTGGTATCAAGTGACAGGTTCAGGTCTTCTGAGGACATTTTCATCATACATAATTGCTGGTTTTTCTTTTCATGTCCTTGCAGGGCAAAGACTCTGACTTTGAGCTGGTGTATCAGCAATGCCTCAGGTGCTGCAAGGCCTTCCTGGAGAAGACTCACTAGCTGGTCCCACCACCATCTAGCAACTCATCCACAGTGTGTACCCAAGGGTGGTGATGATCCTTAGCCCCATGCCCCACCTGTTTTTTCAGCTGACTTAATGTTTATCTTAAAAAATAATTATAAGTAGAAATTAGTTATATTTTCAAAAGAATAAAAATGAGTAAGACAGTTTGAGGTGTAGTTAAGATTCTTAGGTTAGTTGAACCTATCACCTTGCCCTAATTACAAAATAGTGGAACAAGAAGATAGGGAGCAAAACAAAACACAGTAATAAAGTAAGAGTGACCTGCAGGTCCGTGTCAGCCTCTGAGTCCAGCAAGACCTGGATACTCTGTTCTACCTGGAGGGGTGCATGGCCAGCACCCAGGGGTGCCCTGTGCTCACCTTACACCTCTCTGTCCTAAGCTTTCATAGTGACAGTAACCCCATCCATAGCAGCCCTCCACTTAGCACTGGGAGAGTTTTAACTCAGATACACTCAGGGTGCACACTTCTGTTGAAAGAGGAGAAACAGGATATGATAGTACACTCCTGTAATCCCAACTTGGGGGGCTGGTGGGAGACAGGGGTCATGAGTTCCTCAGCTATATAGGTTTCAAATAAAAACCAAAAATAATAAAATATAGGAGCAACAGATTGGTAGAATTAATATTTTCCACCTATTTTCCACCCTTACTTGGTTTTGTCTAGTTTTCTGAGTTTTTGTTCCTATTTGAGCCATTCTGCTTCTAAAAAAGTTGAGAAAAGTCATATTATGTTGATATACTTAAATAGAGGTATGTTCATAAGTGTTCTTTCATCATTTTAAAAAGTTGCAGGCAAACAGAAGTAATTTTAGTGTACTTTCAGATAGCTGACCTCAAATTCATATGGCTGTGTCAGGAATGATTGTAAAATAAACCAGGGCATTAAATAGAACTGAGATACATGTCTGGTGTCTCCCTGCTTTGTTACTGACAAGTAAAAAATATTCAAAAACTTTGCCTCCTTGTTCCTTTTGTTTGGTCTTGTGTGTGTGTGTGTGTGTGTGTGTGTGTGTGTGTGTGTGTGTGTGTAGCATATTGCTTCCACATAAGTTGATATCTGTCCAGTAGGAGAGACTCCAGGATGTGTCCTTACCTGTGGCCTTCTCAGTTAGCTGTTGTTCCAGGTTCCTGATGCTGGCCTCTTTGCTGGGCAGGTCATGTCTGCTTCAGCCTGTCCTGTCTGTCTGGTCACAACCGGTAATCTCTAATCCTGGAGAACTTCTAGTTAAAAGAGGCATCCACAGTAGTTCAGAGGAAACATTGAGACCCGGGGTTGTTCAGGCATTTGCCTGGCCTGGGCTAGCTCTCCCCAGTAGGGGAGGAGTGCTTAACACCTTACTCACCAGAGGATGGCAGCTATCTCAGCACCCTCTTCCCACAGAAGGGCCATGGTGTCCTAGGGAAGACACTTCACCAACTGTTTGTGGCTCCTGTGGAGTTGTTAAAAGGTTAAATGAAAGATGTGGTGTATGGTCTCAAAGTTAGAGAACTAGGAAGAAATGGGCAAGTGACAAATAAAAAAGGAAATAGGTTAAATCAGAAGTTCTCTACCCTCGTTCTGCAATTGCTTCAGAACCTCAAATTTCTTACTCTCACCAATAAAATCCTATTTTCTTGAATGTTTACATATATAAGGGCTCATGGACAGAGAAATTTTACTTACCTTTTTAAGGTCAAGCCAGTTATATTTGAAATCTACCCATAAAAATCTGGAATTGCTCTTAAGTTTCTTAGTTTGAGCACTTCCTTAAAATTATGTGAGAAATAGTGGGTATGAATGACATTTTTTTTTTTTTTGGAGTATTGATGACCAAATGATACCAAGTAATCAGGAAATTATATCATTTAATACCTAATCACCTCTATTTTAAAAAAAGAGTCCCAGCAATGAATTTGTTAGAGAAAAGTCACTCTAAATACTGTGTGCTGGATAGCTTTAGCATCAACTTGACACACCTGGGTAGAGGGAGCCTCAATTGGGGAATTGACTCCATTGGACTGGCCTGTGGCCATATCTGTGGGACATCTTGATTGTTGGGTGATGTGAGAGGGCCCAGCCCACTGTGGGTGGTGCCACCCCTGGGCAGTTAGGCTTGTGTTGCATAAGAAAGCAGGCTGAGCAGGGGCCAGGGGAGCAAGCCAGTAAGCAGAGTTCTTCCATGGCCTGTGCTGCAGCTCCTGCCTCCAGGTTCCTGCCTACCTTGGGCTCACTGATGAACTGTGACCTGGGAGATGTAAGACCCTTTCCTCCCCAAGTTGGTATTGGTCAGTGTTTTGTCACAGCAATGGAGAAACAAACTAGGGCATGTTCATTATAACAAACACTTCATTTAATTCTTTGTGTTTGTTAACAGTATTACATATTGCACAGTAGCTGGAATGTAATCTTACATTTACAAAGGACAACTGGGACTACTGTGGCATATTCACAGGTTCATATGCCACTGTCTCCAAAACAACTGAAGTCTTTTGGGTTTTCATTTAAATTTTTCATGCAGTAATACAAAATATCAAGTCATACTGTATGTTCTATGAAAATACAATTTAAGATTTTGCCTGTGTTTCTAAAGAAATATTCTTTGTGATTTCACTTAATCTGAAAAATGAAATACTACCTCATTTATAGTACTACATGTCAGATGTATTCTATAAAGTTAAGAATAGTAAGTCTCACCAACAGGTACACTGATTTGCTAACTGCATATTTCTAAACTGTCAACAACATAGAAAATGCAAAGGAATTATGGAAGAGTCTTGTCTGCAAAAATAAATCTCCGTCCACAGGGAATGATGTGAAGATGATTCTGTTCTCTGTTGGTTTCCAAGGCACTTCTCGGAGTTCCTGGTGTGTTGCTCCTTTGCAGCTGAAAACAAGTACATTTGATTTCATGTAACCAGTTGCTTTTTTTTTTAAACCAACTCTAGAGGACCTGTGAGTTCAGCAATAAAACCACTTAAAAACAAGAAGTCTATGTAGTGCTCTTATGTTCCACGAAATGTGGACTAGTTTTTAGTTATTTTTTTCTTAATAAACAACTTAGTTCTTCAGCTATCATGTGCTCACTGTACCCAGGGGATGCTATTAAAGTTTACTTTAGCCATAGTTCTTAGCCTTAAATATTTGGTAGCGTTCCTTGGGCATTCAATCCACAGAAGTTTGTAGTTTTGGCAACTGGAAAAGAGTATGCCTGTCTTATACTTCAGAGTTCACAGTAAAGCTACTGTTTAATCAAAGCTATTGTTTCTAGTACTGCATATTAGAATATTATTGACCCTCTCTCTTTTTTTTAAAAGGAAAACATTAAGGTTACTAAGTTAAACCAAGTACTTGGGTACTTGTTCCTCAAAATCACACTTTAAAGAAATACCCCAGAGCTCAGGCTTTTCATTTAACTGGTAGGCTCAGTAACAAAGTATGTATGACTCGCAGTTTCTCTGGTCTGAGGACCATTAACAGCTTCATGAAGGAGGCCAATGGATTTGCTCACTGCTCTCCTCTCAGGACCTGTAAAACTTGCCCTTAGGTTCTGGGCTGGATCAGAGGCAGGAGTCTCACCCAGCAGAACATTGCTGAAAGTTTCCCCACTGTACATGTGTCATGCTCATTCTGCTCCTAAGGTTCTGACTGGTGTCCTGAACCAATCTTCAAAGTACAGAGAAACCAGGCAATGTCTACATTGGTGGCCAGGTGGTACAGGCTTGCTATCGGTTAAAACCTTTCAGACTTAAAAGAGTTTAATTATAAGTGTCAAAATAATAGTTGACAAGAATACCAGTGCTTTAAACCACCTATTTCTTGGCCAGAATAAGCCTGTTAGATTTGGGACACATGACTGTTGAAGTCTTTGTAGCCTTTGGTACAGAAGCTTATGAGTACAGACCCTTCTGGCCCTGTACTATGTTGCAGTGTTCATTCAGATTTCTGCTGAGTGATGCAGAGGTAGTGGCAGAGGCTAATGTGTGGCTTGTCAGGGCTGTGCCCCACGCCATATCTACTCAACATGCCTGCCTTGCCTTTTCCTTGCTGCTTTCTGGTAGTGAACTCACATTATATTAAGCAAACATAATTGTGTCCATGCTTCCTGACATGGAAGCAGACCAAGTAGATGTGAGCACAGTACACTGGTGGTGGTGACCTGGCTCTTCTGAAAACTGCAATCCATACAGGAGCCACCAGCCCTTGGGAAGCCCGGTGGCACAACAGCAGGGCAACTCTGGATAACCTGGACTGTCTCCTTACTTATGAATACATGGAAATGCTCTCCAAGGATGTACATGGTGCAGTGGCGACCCAACTATAAAAATGCATGGTTGAAATGACATTTTTATCTCCTCAACACATCGCCACCAAAGGAAGTGGAAGGATATACATCTATCCATTTAAGAGAAAACACTTCTGTGTGCGGTAAATACAGTGAGCAAAAAACAAGTTTTGGGAAGAAGGGAAATGAGAGTATACACTTCTTAGCTTTCACTGGCATAAAAACACCTTTGCTTCCTCCAGAAGAAAAGATCCAGTGAGCCTGTGTAGCCCACGCTGCCCCCTCGCCTTACCCTTAGTACAGTGCCTTTCATTTTTAGTGGCTCTTGTTCCCGATAAAGAGATGAATCCAGAGTGCCATGAGACTGCTCTATACTGGTCCTCACCTAGCCATGTCAAGAGCTTGCCTGCATGCGCAGTCATGCCTTTGTACTGCCATCTGTACATTAGAGTGCTGCTCTCATCCATTTTTTATGAGACAAGCTACAGCAACCACTAGGAAAAATGCAGTATTCCTTTTTCATTAATGTTTTCTGGACAACAGGCACATTTCTGGGAACAACCATTTGCAGGCAGGAAGTAGGTCTTATTTGTGGTAGGATGTCCCCACCTGGCACACTCATGACATAGAAGTACAGAAGTGAAATTAAAGTTACGCCAAGCTGTCTAAAGTGACAGCCCTGTGGCATTTGTGTCAGGAAATAGAGCCACCTTCCCACACACATTGTTACTGGTACAGATGAGAGCCTCTGGAGGCCAGTGTACAGTCACAACCTGATAATGCATTTACATTTCTGCCACTACACATTAGGGATGAATATAGAAACACTTAAAGAGGAAAGCCATCATTTGTTAGCTTTTAGCCAGCTTTTTGCCAAATCTTTACCAGATATGTTTTAAAATTTGTGTGAATGTGCTTAGTCATACAGTCCTTGATGTAGGATAGTCTCATGTAAGGTATTTTTAAAAAGTATTTTTATTTTATATGTGTGAGTGTATTGCTTTCATGTGTGTAAAGTGCACCTATACTGTGCAATGCCTATGGAGGTCAGAAGAAAATGTTGAATCCCCTGGAATTGGAGTTACAAATGGTTGATAGACCCCATGTGTGTGCTAGGAATCGAACCCAGGTCCTCTGCAAGAGCAGTCAGTGCTCTTAACCACTAACCCATCTCTCCAACCCCAAGTTTTGGTTTTGTTTGTTTGTTTGTTTGTTTGTTTTTTACTATATCAAGGTGCAAAAGTACTGTACATTTGATAAGCATCATGCTTCAGGTTGCATATGTGTTTGTATGTAGCATATGTGTGTGTTGGGCAGGTGATATGTGTGTGGGAAGTGTGCCTTTGTACACATGCAGAGGCTAGGGAAGGATGTCAGGTTTCTTGTTGTATCCCTTTCCACCTTAGTCCATAAAGACAGGGAAGGATGTCACGTGTCCCGTTCTATCCCTTTTCACCTTAGTCCTTAAAGACAGGGTCTCTTACTAAACCTAGAACTAGAGTGATCCTCCTGTTTCCATACCAGCACCACCAACACCACCCCAGGGCTGACGTTACAGGTGTGTGGGGTCATTCCTGGCATTTTACATGGCTACTTGGGAATTTGAACTCAGGTCCTCGTGTTTGCATAGCAAGTGCTCTTACTCTGTGACCTATCTCCCAATGCCCATGCTTCAGATTCTGAATTTGATCTTTTTATGAGCTGGTATGTAGTAATCTGTAATGCTGGGCAGCAGGAAGCCACAGTTCCTAGCCTGCCGCATTCTTTAGGTTGGTTGTATTAAATGCATTCATAAATGTTAGTGAACGAGTTGAGCCTGGGAGTTAATGGTAATGGTTTCAAGTATATGTTCTAATGCATGCTATCTGCTCCTGCTAAATGAAGTTCCAGTAGCAATGTGGCCTGCCCACTGTGGACAGCCAGCAGGGGGAGCCTTTTATGCATGGCCAATGTTTTGAGATATTTTGAAGGTCTTTGGCTCAGAAGGCTATTGTAACCAAATAACACATGGATCACATGCCCATGAGTTTATCATGTCCAAAATAGGGTTTTGACCCTTGCTTTGTGGTCACCATGATTGTTTGGGAGCTTACCTTATCCCTCCATGCACATTGGACTGATAGCCAGCCGGGTAAGTAGCCTGGCACATCTTTTATAGTCTGCAATGAAAATAAACCATAGGCCCTTGTCAGTTGCCTGTACAAAATTAAAATTAAACAGTGTATTTTTTCAAGTATATAAATTGCTATAGCTATTCATGTTTTCATATTCTGAATTCCCCCAAAATTATAGAGCCTGTTATATGCAACTATGGGCTCTAAGTCACTGACTTCAGGGGAAAACTGGCATCACAAGCAGAAATTAGGTAAGATATCAGGGCTGCAAGCGGGGGAGGTGGAGGCAGTGTCCTCTACAGTGTGGTTGTCAGGCACAGAGAAATGCCATGAGTGTTGCTTCTAGTGAGACAGTCCCTTCCATGTCCTTGTGTGACTTCTCTTTCGGATTACATGAAGATTAAGTCCCATCTGAGATGAGCATGATAGACTTTTGCATTAATGTTTGAAAGAAAGTGGGTCAAAAGGAAGGAAAGAGACTGGACTTGGTTGGAATAATACTCAGGAGGCAGAGGCAGGAAGATCAGAAGTTCATTGCCAGCCTGAGCTACAGATTAAATTCAAGGCCAGCCTTAGCTAACTTAGCAGGGCTCTTCCAAAAAGTAAAAAAAGAGCTGAGAATATAGATCAGTAGTAAAGTGCCTATGAGAAGCCTTACATTCAATAACAAGTATAGAAAAGGAAGAGGAAAAAAAAGATTTTTAAGCTAATTTCTGAGTACAGAATGAAAAGGAAAAAAAAAACAATTTTTGAGTGAAGAATCACATTCCCTGATGCCTCTCATAATTCCCCACTCTATTCTTCTGCTACCTCAAAAAAGGATGTAGGAAGGTTCAGTGACCACAGTCAAAGGGGCAATTTCCTCAGGAAAGGTTCTGTGGAAAGCTGTAGTAGTTTATGAATTACTAAAGCTTATTTCTCAGGAGTAACAAAATCCTTCTTTAAAAAGGAAGAGTTCATACTCAGTGAAGAATCTGAATGAGTGGCAATGATAAATCTTTACAAACTCTCAAAAATTTACAGTCTAACTGTTTACAGCATATATCCTTTTGGTTCAAAGAAGAAAAATATCCTAACCTGATTTGTGGAGGAAAAGCCTAACTGCTGAGCACCTAGATTCCTGAATTTTGCTCTTCTTCCACACTTTCTGGACTTTTTCCTAAATTCTGTACCAAGGTGTATTCGATTGTGAACTCAGGACAGATCTAATCAATAAACTTTAGAAACTTCCATTTGTAACATATCTAGAGACTCCAGTTGGTCCCTATCTCACTCAGGCCAAGTGACTCTTAACAAAGCTCTTCAACCTCTAATGTGGATGCAAAGAGCAACGCATATCTTGCTCATTGGGACTGTGAAGAGCTTGGTTCTGCACTCAGCTCCTATGGGACCACACTACCTAAGAAGGGTCTACTCTGTGGCCCATGTAAGTTCTAGCACTCCTGAATTTCTGAGAATTTCTTTGTACAGACAAAAATAGCCTAGAAGAACTTCAGTTTTGTTATTTATGGCAGAAGAAGTAGAAATGGTCATGAATCTTAATGTACAGATGTGTCAGCCTTCCACCACTGGGGGCTCCTTGAGAGCTGTGACCAGGAATCTTGGCATCTTCTAAGAAAAAGAGGTGACAATGTGGAGATAGTATGGCACCCTGGCAGAAGTTTGGAAAGGTTTGCAAAGTGGAGAATGAGCTCTGAGCCCTGGTCTTGATGATGTTCATGTGACAAGCAATTTAAACTCTGTCTCCTCATCTGTGAGTGGGATTTATGAACAAAAGGTCATTTACAAATTTAGAATCTATGATCCTATTACTATAAGATAATACTTAATATAAAATAGCTCTAGATACACATTTAAACAATATAAAGTTTCTGCGGTCCAAAGAAGCAGGTTAATAATTCTTAAACAGAAGATTTTGTTTCACAAGAAGAAAGCAAGGGAGATAGAGACACAAGAGGTCTACATGGCACCTCAGGGGTGGAAAATAAAATTCCACAGGAAGCATGTGTGCTCACACTGTACTTCACACCTCACTTTGTTTGCTGAAGAGTGTTAGTGAGTCAGCCTCACTGGGCCAAGACCCATAGATATGATATCATGAACCTGCCTACCAATGTCCATCACACAGAGCAGTCTATAAATGACAGACATTATCATTCAGAGTGTTTTTGATGCCTAAACAGAAAAAAATTACTTCATGTAATGTATTTTGTGGCAGGCAGACAGGCCATTTCACTCTCCTGACTGGGGTGCTGGCCTCTGTTGACCCTGAAAGCAGCCACCCATGTCCTGGTGTGTCTGTGTGACTTTTCTCCTGTGAGCGTTAAATTAAGTGAAAATTGTCATCTCAATTAAAAAAAATACTTTTATGAAGAGCACATGGAGCCATTTCAGGGAAAGCAAAATATATACTGCTATGGATAAATAGCTGAAGCATGTTGAGAATGAAATCAAACTTAAGAGAGAAAGACAAACTTAAAGGAGATGAAAACTGGACCAATAAGTGAACCTTGTATCTCTGAGCTGGTGGATGAACAGCCAGTAGAGCAGCATTTGGAGTAGCAAATAAAATTCTTGGGTGATGAGGTTTTTATTACTGTTGGAAAGAAAAGACCACTGGTCAGAGCAATGGAGATGATAAGAAAGTTGGACAGGAAAGTACCAGGGCAACCTGACTGTTTATGCCCCAGTACTCTGACCAGCAACAGGCACCTGAGCAACTCACACCTGACCTGAGTGATGCCCAATTGAGTTGAATACAGGCTTTGTGCCAGAATTCATAAGCAAGAATATGAATGGAAGGGTTCAGCCCATTGCAAGAGTTGATTAAGTCCAGTGCATTATCATGAGGTAAATACTTTCCAGTGGCATTGGTTGCTGCAAAGTTTAGCCATCTGCTCCAATGTCTGGGCGTCCTGCCCCAACCCAGTCAGGTAGTGACACTCAGGCCCCTGCACCTGTCAAAGGGCAGTACTGCTGCACCTGAAGGGAAGAGTGGAGCGCCATCTGCCTGTTGGGTGGTCACTTACATGCAGGGATGGTGCAGTCTCGTGTGTTGTGGTAAAGTCTGTGAAAGTGCTTGCTGCACTTCGGACTGAAATAAAGAGGACCTGGAACACAGAGGAAGAAGGTCATGAAGACTCAGGGTACAAAGGAGCAGGGAGGGCAGAGGAGTGAAGAGAACACACACCTGTGAGATGTTTCAGAAACTTGTCCTTCATCCTTAGATCTCGAGGAACAATCTCTGGGGGGAGAAAAATTATATTACTTGAAAGAAGCACCTATTAAATGTGATCTTAAGTGAAATGTGGAGGAAAATTTTGAGAATTACATTATCCACGCTACAATGCGTGAATAAGCTCCAATGGATAAATCACTTGTGCATACTTCATTTTGAAGAGTTTGGAAATCAAATTCCACAGTATTTCAAAGTTCTAGAAATAAAGCCCGCACATTAAAAAAAAATGTGTTATAGAACATTATTCTTCAGAGGGAAATTTCTTTCAAAGATCAAATTTCCTTACAGCTCCCTGTTAGTGAGGCTGGAGTGAACTAATGGTAATGCACATGAGCTTGATTTATAAGGCAAAGTGTGGTCCCTAGGGAAAGGCTCTTCCACACCAATTCACACTCATGCTTTTCATTGGCACCTGGTCCCCAGTGATGGTTCCCAGATTTTCTTTCTAAGTTTTTGACATTGTTTTTGCTTTATTTACCATCCCCGCAATCATTTTCCATTCCTTGGTCCACATCAAACCAATAATTTCTCTATGATTATATAATGTTACTTTATTTTATCAGAAATACAGTTCTGCCCCTTCCTACATCTGAAGAGGGACAATGGCATCAAATCTTCCATGAGCAAGGTAGAGACCACTCCCTAAGGCCCTTCTTCATATACTCCTTACTTGAGTCAGTCTACACAAAAACGACCCTATTATATTGGATCTGTGTCAGGAAAGTATTAAAAGCTTGCATGCTTCCCTGAAATTCTAAAAGATAATTCTGTTTCCAAGAGAATGCTAATCTAGTGTCTTCAGATATGGAAGGTGGGAGCCCCTCCATCTACATTGCTGAGATGCACTTCCTGCTCCTTGGTCCACAACTTCCAGGACCCACACTGCCAGAATCTCACTCATTCTTTGTCCCTCAGGTGGCACTCTCAGACACTCACTAGTCACCTACTATCTGCCCCTCAGGTCTATACTGTCAGGATGCTTGCTTTCGGTTCTTCGTGGACTACACTGCTGGGATTCTTACCTACTCTGTCCACAGGTCCACACTGTCAGGGCTCAAGTTCATCAATTTTCTGTTCCTCATGGGCTACCCTGCTGGGCACTCACCCACTCTTTTTTCCCACAGGATCCTCACTGACAGGAACCCCTCTCATTCTTTGTCCCGCAGCAGATCTATACTACCAGAACCCTCACCAACACTCTGCCCCACAGGTATACACTGCTAGGGATACCACTTACTTTCTGCCCTTGAAGTCTACGCTGATGGAACCCTTACTTCATCTTTGCCTGTCACGGTCTACACTGCCGTACTCCCACCTACTCTGCGGCCCTCAGGTCTCCACCTAGGAATACTCACCCACTCTCTGCTCCTCTGGGTCTGCCCCATAGTCCATGACCTCCCTGCGGCCAAAAGCGAAGTCCCGCTGGCCAAGAAGCTGCAGCCTCTTGGAATCGCCTGTTTGGAATTTCTTCAGCTCCGGGACCAGCTCCACAAGCAACGTCAACAGTGTCTGCCGGTCCGCGGGCCCCCGGGGCTGTGTAAGGCCCTGGTCTCCCACCGCGCCCAGCAGCAACAGCAGCAGCACCAGGAGCAGCGGGCGCCCAGGCAAGCGCATGGCCCGGGTGACCCGCGACGCAGGTCTTGGGACCGGCCGCCCCACCCGCCGTTGCCCAAGTTTCTCTCACTCGGAGTCCGCGCAGAGTGCGCCGCAGAACTTTCTCAGCCACCGGGACCGGCACGGGGCCTGGGCCACCTCTCCAGCAGCTGTTGCCACAGGTGCACCCCGGCCTCCCGCCCGGGTTGGAGACGTCCGGAGCCGCGGGGCTGACCTCGCCGCCCTGGACTCGGGAGGCCGCAGCACCTGCCCGCGCCGTACGCCTCGCACCGCCCTTGGGCTCCCGTGCCCACGCCGGGTGTCCCACGTCCGCAGCGCCTCTCGGTTCCCCCAAGTCCGGATGCTACTCGCCGACCTGTGACAGGGACGCGGAATGCACCGCCGGGAGGCACCGCCGGCCTCGGGTGCTTCTTATCCCTGCGGCCACCGACGTCAGAAGGGTCCCTGGGCCGAGGTGCGGCTTTCCTTAGAGCCACAGAGAGCAGCTCGCGGGTGCTGCTATCCGTCGGACCCCCTCCGCCTCGCCCTCCGCCTCCTTCTCCTCCATCCCCTCCCAGTCCCCTCCACCGGCCGCTGTCTCTCCCTTCTGTCCTCCCTCTGCTTCCCAGGTCCCCCTCTCCCGCAGTCTATTTCTCTCGTCCCTGTCACAAGTGACAGGATGAGCAGAAACTTTACTGGGAACTGGGGTCTGTTTTTGTCTAAACGTAGATCCTGGGCTATTTAAAAGGCGCTGCTTGATTGCCTCGACTTTGAATGTCATCTAGAGTCCCGCCCTTTCTTGCTGGCATGGTTGATGGTTTGCTGGGTCGGAAGGAGATGTGAGCGCCTTGCAGAGGGCCCCAGACTTGGCGAGACTGGGGTACCCAGGAAGGTCCTTGAAGCAGGGACTGCGCTGCCTGCAGTCAAGGCTGGCCCCTCTGCCAGGTTGGCTCAAGAGCTCTTGTTCCTTAAGTTGTCTCTTTAAGAAAGTTTGGACCTTTAGATATAGCCTATGAGTTCAGCGATTTACTTCCTTGAATTCTTTTTCTTGTGATAAGTATTACCAATTGCACATTTTCCGATTTTATTGGTACTTTCTGGGCAAGAGCTGGATGTCCTTCAAGTTAGCGACCAGATTGGGAAAAGTGGCCTTTTTTCTTCTTCTTTCTTTTTTGGTCTTTTTGAGACAGGATCTCCCTGTAGCCCCAGCTGACCTGGAACTCTCTATCTAGACTAGTAGTATCGATCTATCTATCTATCTATCTATCTATCTATCTATCTATCATCTATCTATCTATCTACTGAAGTATCTATCTAGACTAGTATCTCTATCTAGACCAGGCTGACCTTGAACCCACAGAGTGCTGGGACTAAAGGCGTGTGCCACCAGGCCCGGAGATAGGTGATCTTAGCCAGCATCAGAAAGGAAAAGCAGCAAGCACGAAAAGCTTCCACCTCTAACCCGAAGCTGCTCAGGCTGTGGCTAAGATGCTGTGCCTTTCAGGTGCATAGTGTGCAGGCCAGGGGCAGGGAGGGAATCACCGTGCATGCTGGTCTTCCTGGATTCTTTCCCTCCAGTTCTGTCTTCTCTCTGCACCACCTCCCTTCTTCCCTTGCCCTGGGAAGACCAAATGCTTTGAAAAGTGGGGCAGGTAGGTAGAGATAGGGAGCCTAATATGTGACCCTAGGGATGTATGTGTCTACCTTAAAAACAAATGATTTAAGTTTCCAGTGAGAGGTTTTTAAAATTTTAGTTTAATTTAATTTTTTCCGTGTGCTGTTTTGCTGCACACATATGACTGAAAAGCATATAGGTTCCCACTGAAATACATTCAGGACCAAATAAAATCTCATGAGTAACAGATCACAGACAAAGAAATGGTATGATTCTTAATGGTGATTACACATGATTTAGACTTACCTAGATTTTAAAGAGTGTTACGCAGACTCAAATCTTGATATTTAAAACAAATCCCACAGAATCCATCCCTTCAAATTCTGACATCACAACAAGCCTTGCTAGTGAGGAGCATATCCTTTTGCCCTTTTCGGTTTTCAGTGAGACAAAGGGATTCTTGGCCAGACTCCTCTCGTTGCCCGATTGTGTGTGCTTGCCTTAGTGCACTTAGCACTTGTTAGACAGTTCTATGTAAAAACAGTAGAGAGAACTTGTGTTTGGTTGGTGTTTGGACATGAAATCTGGTAATCAAGGATCAGACAATACATGTGTTTCATCAGTTTATAAAGTTCTGTGTTAAAATGACAGCAGACACTCCTCATTTTATATAGTGTAAACATTTACAGACTTTAAACACTTAATTGGAAGAGTGCACTCATTATTAATGTTTACTCAACCTCCATGCAGTATTGTCAGGATGAATTCTGTGATGTTTTCCACTTATCAGAATTGTATGCTTTAGGCTCTTCATCAGCCCAGACTAATCATAGGACCAGGCTAATCACTGCATATAAGTTCACAAGTACAAGTGAACCTGAACTGGAAGATCATTTATGCAGGGGGTTCGAACCAGTGACCCCCATGCAGTGATGATTGGTGATGAGTAAGAGCACCATTTGCCAACCCGTGCGCCCCCAGTACCAGGAACACTCAGGTGCAATGGGGAGCCTAGTCAAGCAGGGACTCATTTATTGCAGGTGTTACAGAGCTTATAAAGGCATCTGGAAATCCCCCTCCCCCCTGAGGATGTATCTTAAGGATGGGTGCACTCCTCAGCAGTGCGGAAGTATCCATTCAGACTTTTAAAACAAGTCAGGCCGCACCCCAATAACTTCCTCTCAGACCTCTGCAAGGTGGGGCCTTTAGGTCACCACATCGCCCCCTTTTATTTTTATTTTAAGGCCAGACTGACTTCATTTCGCAGGTTACCCACCTCAAAGGTTCTCCCTGAGGAGAGATGGCTATCTCCTTCCTCTAATCTTATGTATTTTTGCCTGTCTTAGGACCTGGCCATGTGCATGTCCTGTCTTAGGAGTACTTGTCACGGGACATCTTACCCTTCCTTGGCTAAAAATGCATCATGATTAAGGGCATCACTGAATCATGCACCTGGCCATGTGCATGTCCTGTCTTAGGAGTGCTTGTCATGGGACATCTTACCCGTCCTTGGCTAAAAATGCATCATGATTAAGGGCAGTCATGTGGGTAATGCCAGCACGTGACAATCTTAGTCTCTTATGTCCTGTCTTAGGAGTGCTTGTCATGGGACATCTTACCCGTCCTTGGCTAAAAATGCGTCATGATTAAGGGCAGTCATGTGGGTAACGCCAGCCCATGACAGTCTTGTCTTAGTCTCTTCCTAACTCGGTTAGCCAAGCGTGGGCAACCAGAGGGGGTATATTCCTGGGGGAGTCTGTAATCATGAGGAGGTGGGCCGTGTCAGCTCCAAGGGTCCTCTGTCACCAAATCATCTGGTAAAGACACTTAAAGATAAGCATTATCAAGAGAAACAAAGCAAGTCATGGCATATGAAATACTTCTGAGACCATGTACCTTTTAGCCAATAAGCTAGTTGTAGAGGCTGACTGGCAATGAAGCCAAGGAACTGAGTCCTTTACCTCAGATGGATACAAATAAAGAGAGGAATTTTGTCTCATGAACTATTGTCCATGGACCATCATGCTAGTCAGTTGGATACTGGCCTACCCACTTAAAGTTTTTTGCAGGCACCCATATGGGGTTTGAATCTCCTGCAGGGTAGACACACCCAAAGCCTTGACCCATGGTTAGCAATGGATCTGGTCCTTTCCATTGCCTGGTGATGGGATCCTTCCATCTTACCCATACCTGAGGTCTCTGCTCCTGTGGTCCCCAATGTTTCTGAAACCGGGATTCCAACTGATTTTTTTGAAAATAGTGAATAAGGCCATACCCAACTGTTGGTGAGGGCTTATTCACCCTTTCTGTTTTTGTAATTGCTTCAATGGTTTGACCTTGGGGATTGTAGGGAATCCCTGTATTGTGTTGAATTCCCCAAAGTGAAAAGAAATCTTGTAAATTTTTACTCACAAAACATGGCCCATTATCAGTTTTAATTCTTTGTGGCAATCCCAACATAGCAAAGCACTGGAGAAAATGAGACTGAGCATGTTTAGACTTCTCTCCTGTAGGAGCGGTAGCCCAACAGGCATGTGAGAACGTGTCGATGGACACAAAAATATACTTAAGCTTTCCAAAAGGAGCATAGTGTGTGACATCCGTTTGCCACAAGGAATTGGGCTTGAGTCCCCTGGGGTTTACCCCAGCTGTTGCAGAGGTGGTACCTGTAGAAAGGGTTACTGCCTCTGCATTGCCTTGGGATAAAAGCCCAGGCAATCCTTGGTGCCCCTAATATGCTGTAAGAAGATAGGGGCTTCTCTGTCCTTAAGGAGCGGACGAGTCTGGATACTGTCAGAAAGCAATGGCCATGAGTTCCTTGAATTGAGCTGAGCCATCACAAGTGTGGACATATCTTTTTGGTTTCTCATCTGCCCCAGATATACTATCACTGCAGCTCCAAGTCTTCCCCCATGTGGATCCCCGGCCACCTGGTACTGCCCCCCCCACGCAAACACCTTCCCTGAACCGGGCCTTCCCAGCCATCCAGGAGCCAGTCGCGGTGTACCGCCAACGGTGTTTTTTTTTTTAAAAATGCACCCTGAAGTGTCCAGTTGCCGGCCGGGGGGTGGTCCCCTGCCCAGTTTTCATTTCCCAGCCATCCAGGAGCCAGTCGCGGTGTACCGCCAACGGTGTTTTTTTTAAAAAATGCACCCTGCAGTGGCCAGTTGCTGGCCGGGGGGTGGTCCCCTGCCCAGTTTTCACGCGAGCCCTCCGACTCACACACACATTAAACTCCTTGGTCTGTGTTTCAAGACAGGTCGGGTGGGTGGCTTTCACTGCCAACCCCATGGGCTCCGCTCCACCTCATCCTTCTGAAAAAGGAACCCATGGGTCCTGAGCATGGGTCCCGGGAAGCCCTGAAGCTGGCCAGGGCACGCCCAAGGTGCCACTTGTTACTTTGGCCGCTTTTGGTTTCACT